ATAAACTATTTTTGATTTAAAAAAATATCAAGAAATTGCTGTAAAAAGTCATTTTATTGGGCTAAAATTTGATAAGATTGTAGATTTTACTCTCGAGGACGGAGTTAGATACATGTAAGACGAGACAGGATATGGAAACGTTATAAAGAGGAAGATTCGAATAACTATATAAGAACTTTCGGTTTTTACCGGAAGTCACGTTATTTAGATTCAAACATTTTCGCTAAACAGAGTTCGGTAGATCACCAGCATGACTCGGCTGTTAAAGGAAAAGTATGATTTACAGGGGCAAGCTACAACTAATTTGAGATGGAAAGCGTATATTTTAATTGAAATAAATTAAAAATGTGATTAAAAAATTGCAGCCAGGTATATTTGGCATCGTATGAAATTTATGTATCGCTTTGCTATTGTTTAGAAAAATTTTTATTAATGTTTTTTTTTTGGGCTGCAGTTTTCGAATTGCAGCCTAAAAAGTTTAGAAGAAAATTGCAAATTTTCAAGATCGTCTGTTTGGTTGTCTCTGGTTGTCTTCGTTAATCTTAAGAACGGAGCAAGATTTATAAAATCGAGAGCAGTCAGGGAAAGCTTACTGTATACGAATTTCCAAGATGGAACTGCATAAAATATGATTTAATATTATTGTATGGCAATGTCACAATAATATGCATTAGAATTTTATAATAAGAAAGCACAAGATTACATTAAACTGACGTAATGGTGTATCTTGTTCTGATCAAACCAATTCATTTGTATAAACAGAACTTGAATAAAATCATTTGTTATTATCATTTTCTTAAGTAGTGTTACATTATGCAGGCTCGTAGACTGTGATAATTACGTTTTCACAGTCTATTGCTTGGCCAAATTCCTAAGCTATTTGACTCGTGTTATGAGGCTCTATTTAATATTATTACCACTTAAAATCTAAATTTTTCGCCTATATTTCGTTTATTGTAGCGCTGCACGAAAATTTAACCTTTTTTTACTGGGAAAGTTACGCAACTCTTCGCTGGAGTTTTTAAATTTAAAATATTTTAAACAAATCTTGACAAAATTTAGAAAAATTTAATATAGGAGTTCTTCCGTAGGGTCGTCGATAGGATTTATAAATTGTAATAATCGAGAAGAGTAAAGGAACCAGAAAGCCAGAAAGTGTAACGTAAGAGGAGTAAAATTAAAGTGTTATGGGGATTATAAACATCTAAAAGTAGCTTTAGTACATCGTAAATTGATTTTTTACGAAGAAATATGAAAGTTAAGATGAGGGCAGTTAAGAAGATTATCGAGACAATTTAAGTCTTTTGACATTATCGATTTTTTTAGGTGAACTTCTTTGTGATTATCTTAATATTCCAATTAAATTTCTGTGTTTAAACGTATAAATTGTTAATTAAAAACGTATTGAGATTAAAATAACGATGAAGAACCTGATATTCCTATTAGAAACTTTGAGTAAAGTGAATATTATTTTAAACTTATCACGGTTATGAATTCATTAAATGAACTAAATTTATCGAAATAGTCTATGTAATTAGTGATGTAACCTGACAATGAGGTCCAAAGGACCGAACTTCTTACTTTTGTAAATATATAAAGAAAGAATAAAATAAGGGCAGAGCAGAAGTTTGAATGTAGCACACGCATCTAAAAATTGACTCTTCATTCACAGTGATAAAGGGGTGAATGTAAGTTTGCACGTACTGATAAAGGGTCCACTAATATCTGTTATAGTTACACTACTGCATGAGATTTTGTTAGTTTCTGAACCTTGTTTCACTATTTTGAGATAGATAATTAGAGTTTGCTTCAAATTTTAGTAATTTAGTTGTGCAGAGTAAGCATTAATTATTAAATATAATGTATACTTTCCCTTAAACCATGTGTATTTTCTATGACAAATATTTAAATATTCTTATACGTGAAATTTTATGTAAATGTATGAGACTTTTCTTCAATTTTTGAGCTAAACGAATTTGCATTTTAAAATTTACTAAAGATAAGTTTAAAGATATCATTTGATATACAGAATTTGTTTTCAGTATAGAAGATTTATACTAAAAAGTCACGCTACAGTTATAAAGTAATGATTTTTGCTTAAATTGTTTACATAAATAAGAATAATTTTTAAATATATCTTGCTGAAGTACTTAAAAATTTGTTTACATCCATGAAGAGAACATTTATCACCATCATTCACGACTATGGGATTTTTTTTCCTTAAAAACTGGAATTGTCCTGTTCTCTTCATCTTCTCCATGCTCTTTTTTGAACTGATTGTTAATGATAGCACCGAACACCGGTAGTTGGTGGTGGGTACCACCTGGCCAATAGGCTGGCCAACTGTTTCCGGGTTTATAACACCAAAATATGGACCAGTTTCCATATAAAGTATTGCCGGAAAGCATCCTCACTTCGGAAAATTGCCCACGTGTGTTCTCGTATGGAAATAAACTGAACCAAACTGTTATCTAGCTACTCTCTAGGTTGATATGAACGTTCGTATATTGTACTTTCTGCCATACTGTGAACATGCTCTACCCATTTACATTGATAATCCTGTATTACTTCCACTGTACTTAATTCTTTCTATTGATATGGTTGTTTCTTTGATGCTGTGTGTACTGNCCAGGTATATTTGGCATCGTATGAAATTTATGTATCGCTTTGCTATTGTTTAGAAAAATTTTTATTAATGTTTTTTTTTTGGGCTGCAGTTTTCGAATTGCAGCCTAAAAAGTTTAGAAGAAAATTGCAAATTTTCAAGATCGTCTGTTTGGTTGTCTCTGGTTGTCTTCGTTAATCTTAAGAACGGAGCAAGATTTATAAAATCGAGAGCAGTCAGGGAAAGCTTACTGTATACGAATTTCCAAGATGGAACTGCATAAAATATGATTTAATATTATTGTATGGCAATGTCACAATAATATGCATTAGAATTTTATAATAAGAAAGCACAAGATTACATTAAACTGACGTAATGGTGTATCTTGTTCTGATCAAACCAATTCATTTGTATAAACAGAACTTGAATAAAATCATTTGTTATTATCATTTTCTTAAGTAGTGTTACATTATGCAGGCTCGTAGACTGTGATAATTACGTTTTCACAGTCTATTGCTTGGCCAAATTCCTAAGCTATTTGACTCGTGTTATGAGGCTCTATTTAATATTATTACCACTTAAAATCTAAATTTTTCGCCTATATTTCGTTTATTGTAGCGCTGCACGAAAATTTAACCTTTTTTTACTGGGAAAGTTACGCAACTCTTCGCTGGAGTTTTTAAATTTAAAATATTTTAAACAAATCTTGACAAAATTTAGAAAAATTTAATATAGGAGTTCTTCCGTAGGGTCGTCGATAGGATTTATAAATTGTAATAATCGAGAAGAGTAAAGGAACCAGAAAGCCAGAAAGTGTAACGTAAGAGGAGTAAAATTAAAGTGTTATGGGGATTATAAACATCTAAAAGTAGCTTTAGTACATCGTAAATTGATTTTTTACGAAGAAATATGAAAGTTAAGATGAGGGCAGTTAAGAAGATTATCGAGACAATTTAAGTCTTTTGACATTATCGATTTTTTTAGGTGAACTTCTTTGTGATTATCTTAATATTCCAATTAAATTTCTGTGTTTAAACGTATAAATTGTTAATTAAAAACGTATTGAGATTAAAATAACGATGAAGAACCTGATATTCCTATTAGAAACTTTGAGTAAAGTGAATATTATTTTAAACTTATCACGGTTATGAATTCATTAAATAAACTAAATGTATCGAAATAGTCCACATAATTAGTGACGTAACCTGACAGAGAGGTCCAAAGGACCGAACCTCTTACCTTTGTAAATATATAAAGAAAGAATAAAATAAGGGCAGAGCAGAAGTTTGAATGTAGCACACGCATCTAAAAATTGACTCTTCATTCACAGTGATAAAGGGGTGAATGTAAGTTTGCACGTACTGATAAAGGGTCCACTAATATCTGTTATAGTTACACTACTGCATGAGATTTTGTTAGTTTCTGAACCTCGTTTCATTATTTTGAGATAGATAATTAGAGTTTGCTTCAAATTTTAGTAATTTAGTTGTGCAGAGTAAGCATTAATTATTAAATATAATGTATACTTTCCCTTAAACCATGTGTATTTTCTATGACAAATATTTAAATATTCTTATACGTGAAATTTTATGTAAATGTATGAGACTTTTCTTCAATTTTTGAGCTAAACGAATTTGCATTTTAAAATTTACTAAAGATAAGTTTAAAGATATCATTTGATATACAGAATTTGTTTTCAGTATAGAAGATTTATACTAAAAAGTCACGCTACAGTTATAAAGTAATGATTTTTGCTTAAATTGTTTACATAAATAAGAATAATTTTTAAATATATCTTGCTAAAATACTTAAAAATTTGTTTACATTCATGAAAAGAAGATTTATCACCATCATTCACGAGTATGGGATTTTTTTTTTCTTAAAAACTGAAATTGTCCTGTTCTCTTCATCTTCTACGTGCTTTTTTTTGAACTGATTATTAATGATAGCACCGAACACCGGTAGTTGGTGGTGGGTACCCACTTGGCCAATAGGCTGGCCAACTGTTTCCGGGTTTATAACACCAAAATATGGGCCAGTTTCCATATAAAGTATTGCCGGGAAGCATCCTCATTTCGGCCCACGTGTGTTTTCGTATGGAAATAAACTGAACCAAACTTTTACCTAGCTACTCTCTAGGTTGATATGAACGTTCGTATAATGTACTTTCTGCCATACTGTGAACATGCTCTACCCATTTGCATTGATAATCCAGTAGTACTTCCACTGTACTTAATTCTTTCTATTGGTATGGTTGGTTCTTTGATGGTGTGTGTACTGAAAGATAGATTTAACTTCAAAAATATATAAATAAACATAAATCACTTTTTTATGTTCAAAATGGCTAATATAATATTAACATTATGTGACAAAATTCTATTTGTTTTTATTCCAGAAATACTACTTTCTTTGGTTACAAAATAGAAAATAATAAGAAAGAAGTATCAGAAAGGACAGAAGTCAAGGGAGAACGTCACAGGAACAGGTATTGTAATTGTTTTTATTTACTGTTGTTAAATAACCTTGTTGAATTATCTCAGAAATAATTAAAAACGAAGTATGTATTATGTAAAACCACGTGTAAACAAATCCTGGTAATGGATAACCTGTAAACAGTCTTTTGATACGCTCGTAAAGTAAATTTTTGAATAATTTACTTTAACAAACAAGCGTATCAAAAGACTGTTTACAGGTTATCCATTACCACCAGTTGTTTACACACGGTTTTACATAATACATCGTACTTATGTAATACAAACTTGAATAAACAATGCAACATTGGGCGATCTGCTAAGGAGGAAGTGCCTCCTTGGAGGAATTTTATAGTAAACTGACCTCTATTCAGTGTTAGACACGTGAAGGAAACCCGAAAAACTTCATCTGGCCAGATGCAAACCCGCGACTAACTAGTGTTTGCTGGTTTTATCCACGCACCGATTATTGGGCGCTGTTCCTATTTGATATTATTACATTAATTGCTATAAAGAAAATTATCTATACATATATATTTTTACTTTTTATACATATAGATTAATACATAGATCTGTATTTAGATATTAATCTTTATATCGGATTATCTTAATTAAAAGATTGTTATACAATGCTGCTGAAGAGATAAGTAATATTCCAAAATCAACCAAATTTTGCACGCTGATGTTTTCAGACATATGGAAGACATTTCGTAGATGAAGAAATTCAGTTTCAAAATTCCCCACTAAGGGAATAATGGCGCTGCGAACGAGTTACATATCATGACTTCTTCGGTATCAGGAAAAACATGTTTTACAGCGGCAAGATATTACTAAAATCGAGAGCATATATTCAGGTTAAATCTGAAATCGAGAGCATATATTTTAGATTAAATCTGAAATCGAGAGTGCATATTTTAGATTAGATGGAATTGTCAAAAGCATATACATTAGATTACATCTAAAATCGAGAGCATATATCAGATTTAATGAAATAATCAAGAGCATATATTTTAGATTAAATGAATTATTTTTAATTCTTTTAATCTGAAGCATATGCTCTCGATTTCAGCCAGCATTGTGACGAAGCCACAATAATTTTGTCTACTTTGATATATAAGTTTTAATAGAGTTGTTATATAGTAATTAGATTTTCTTCGGTATCTTTATCAATTAAGTATAAATACATTTTGCACAGAAAATACTGGGAAAATGATAAATTATTAAGAAGGGAAAGTAATTAGATAAAATTAATTTACGAGTTGCAATAATCTCAATTTAGTCGAAAGTTAATTAAAAATAATTCACGCTACGTAGTTGCGGTCTCAATAAAGTGATGCTAATCTAACACATTTGTGGCTGTCAATATTTGTTTGTACAATGAAGGCTACAAATATAACGAGTTAAATGGATGTATGAACTCGAATTGTTTAAAAATTTGGAAATTAAAAATAGAAATTTTATCTTCGAATCGATAATAAAGGCCTTGTTCGGTTGCTTTACTTTACTAAACAGTGAAAAATTATATATTTAATTATTAGAACAGCTTTCAGAGATGTAAAAACAATAAACCCTTTGAAAAGTATCGCTAATACGAGTTGTGTGCTAAGATTTACATAGTTAAATGATTAATGGGATACAATTCAACACATAGGGATGCTTCCTGACTTTCTGTAGAAAATAAGTGTTAGAAACGAGAAGATAACTAAGTAAACCTGGCCAGCATGTTGGTTTTACATGCAAACCCACGACAATTTAAAACCAGTGTTAAAGTAATCGAGTGGATAAAACCACTGAACACACGTTTTATCCACTCGGTCACTGATGAACTATGTTTCAAATATATAGGGTATGTTGCTGTGTAATTTAATATAACAAATAATTCAGGGACGTAACTACTCTTTGATTTTTCAAACTAGAATTGTAATCACTGTAGAACAATATAGATGTAATTAGGAGAAAAATTATAGTTAATCACGTATCCAGATGCTGAGTTATTCATATCTGGTCTCGACTTTCATCCTTCTAACATCTCTCTTGAGATTAACAAAAGAGACTGACAAATGGAATTTATTTTCCAGCCTAATTTAATTTAAACTGTAAAATGAAATTCTTTTATTATTTTATTTTATTTTTGTATTTAACAAGACAAAAATTTTCACTTATATTACAAGATAATATAAATAATTATTAGAAAATACCATGTAAATAAGAGATGATAGAGAGTGAAGTTAAATAGATGGAAATCGAGACCAGATATGGAAAGATTAGGTACTAAAACCCGATTAACAATATAAAATTTGTTATTAATTTTATGCATTTTTCTTTATATATATCGAATCCTCTATTGTCATTATTCACTTCCAATTTGATTTGGCACATTAAAATTTGTACTTAACACAAAAATATTTTGAAGTTGTAGTAAAATACAATAGGCATACTTAAAAATCGATAGCGACAGATACTACCACAGAGTCCTGGTAAACTATTGTGCGATGTTTGAAATGTCTTGTGTCATGGTCAGAAACCCTTTTTTTCTAGAAGATCAATCCTATATTCTGTAAATGTCGGTGTTTCTGAACGATTTTAAGCTGACGTCTTGGGAACTACTGCATATTTTTTTGACCGTAATTTTTATTAATATTTAATTGATTTTTTCGTTTCATTGTCGTACGTCTTTACGTTTAGTTGTTAATATTTACTGTATAATATTTCTTGACGAGGAAAATTAAGGATTTAGAATAAAGCATGGTTAATCAGTGCTTACTCTGCCTAATTTTCCCATATCTAACCTCGATTTTCTTCTACCTAACTCCATTCTTGAAATCAAGGTAGGACAGACAAACAAGCAGACGCTAGTAAGAATGTATAGGTCTGCAATTTGAAAATTACAGCACAATAATGCAATCTTGCAATAATGCAAGATGTACAATACAGTTACAACGGTAATTTATCTAATAGGCAAGATACACACACAAGAATTATACAATACAATACAAGAAACATAGCAGTAAATTAACAAATTAAGTGCAAAATCTTACAAAATAAATGGGAAGATAATTAGTTTGAGTTGTTTACCTATTATTTATACTTTATAAGAGAATTTTTTTAAATTCTTTCTGCTTGTGGGCACTGAGAGACCATTTTTATACCAATTATGGGTCCAGGCCCACATTAGAAATAAGACCTGAAAATTAATCAATCAGAGATTCGATCTTGGATTTCCCAGAGCGTTTATCATTTCTCTATCTTTGCAAGAGGATCGATATCTTCTGTCATTTTACAATTAATGCCGATGTGATTATTTATTAATTGAATATTAAAGTAATTTTCTCACGAATACAAAAGAATGACGACTCAAACTAATCTTAGAAATATCGTTAATACAAGCAATAATGGCATTATTATCTGTTAATAAAGAAATATTTACGTAGTATTTGTCTGTCGAATTTGGATTATTTCCAAATTTAACACAGAAATTCTCCATTGTACAAAGTAAACTTCATTTAATATATCGACAGTTTTGTTTATTTTTATCTCCTGTTTTATTACTTCTGCCTGTACACGTGTCTTCGGTGTTTTTCCGCATTTAGCGATTAATAAAATAAATGCAAATATCCATAAAGTAAATATTAATTGAAAGTTTCTCTTTGAGGAAAGTAAATATTTTCCTTTACCTTTCTAAATTTATATTAGTTAAGAAAAAAAATTAATAAATAAATATTAGTTCACGAATTAATACAAATATTTGGCCTCTTCCATGCAATTCTTTTATACTTGACGTATATCGTGTTTTAACATATAATTATTATAAAAATTAACACGAATACGCGCGTGAAAATTCGTGCTAAGATCAGCCACCAGCGAAATTTCATTTTAAATACACAATAAACTTTATACAATGGTAAATGTATGTATAATCTAAGTATTGCATAATGCGAAAATACTATGGAGAATGCAAAATGGGACATATAATTTGCATAAATCGAATCAGTCAATTAAAAAAGCAACGAGTTGCGTAACTTTCCCGGCAACAATATTTAAAATTGCGCGTGGCGCCATCTGTTATGACGTTTTATTTAAAAAAAAAACATTTTATATTATTAAATGATATAAACTGGAAAAAAAGCTTAATTTTGAAGGTAAAGAAGAGTTTTTATAGAAAATTGTAAATACTAATAACGAGTAAAATCATTAAGATACGACACGTGCCCCTCTCAATTTCACCAACCCTCTGGACCTTTAACCACCAAAATTTAATAGTATTAATGCCCCTAATACTAAAAATTCCCTACAAAATTTTAGAAAGTTTTCGACGATAGGTACAGGACTTATTAAGCTTCAAAGTGAGTTAACAAACTCGTGCCTCTACACACACTACTACATACAGAAAAGAAATCGAAATTTTATTGTATTTCTCGACGTTTCAAGGTCCTAGGAGTCCAAAAATATAGAAATTTATTTGGAATTTATTGAATTTCTCCATTTCTTCTTTAATTCTAAAGAAAAATAAAATATACAGTACTTCATTATTAAGGCAAGTCGCCTAGTAAAATGGCTTTAACACAGCTGGATGAGTGAGCCAATGACGTGGTTCGTTTCAAATTAGCTCGCTTATCTATCGTATTAAAACTGCTTTACCAGGATACGCGTCATTTATATTATTACATCGAACATTCCATAACGATGTGCTCACACCCATTTCCCAAAAGATGTGGACAAGAGGCAAGAGGGATCACACCTATACATTCATCCATTTAACAGATTTCTCTAGATTACAGTCTACCAACCTTTATCTCCCTCCTCGCACCTTTTCCCATACCTTTCGTGCTTATATTCATTCTTATCAGTAGTATATCTTCGGATGCTCCCTGTTTTACTCTCTTTTTATATCGTCCAACAGTGTGTTCTCTTACCATGGACAAACTAATGTAAGGAAGACTTCCTTGCCTTTTGTATGATATAGTTTAGCAATTATAATATATATATATATATATAATTATAATAGATGTCAACGCCATTAC